GACAGACAGACAGACAGACAGACAGACAGACAGACAGACAGACAGACAGACAGACTCACCTGTACGGGTACGTAGGCTGCGACACGTTCCACACACACACCAGAGACAGACGACTCATGTACGGCTGCTCACCCTGCACACACGCATGGGGAACAACAAAACAAAACAGTCACAATCTGATGGTCGTTGTTTTAGCACCAGTATGACCAATAATTACATGAACACACGGCTCTTCACTTCTACTGTCCTCACAGAGCATGTAGTTGAACCCATCCCCCGACCTCCACCCGTCCCCCGACCTCCACCCGTCCCCCTGACCTCCACCCGTCCCCCGACCACCACCCGTCCCCCTGACCTCCACCCGTACGCTGAGCTCCCGGGATCATAAATCCCACCTGACGGTCGGCCAATCTGATTGATTAAACAACCGTTAGGCTGAAGAACACCCCCTCATCTCTCACACACACACACCACACACACACACACACACACACACACACACACACACACACACACACACACAATACAAGAAACTGAGTTTGACATTATAGGAACAGCAATTTCTGAATATTCGTAGCTGTATAGATAACAGAGATCTATCTATTTCCCAGACCACAGTCTATAGATAACAGACCACAGTCTATAGATAACAGACCACAGTCTATAGATAACAGACCACAGCTCAGGCACAGGTGAGTGTGTATAGTGTAACTGTCTGAGAACGCCGACTTTGCTCAAAGCAACAGAAACTATGAGGAAGCTTGTGAAATCCCCTGCCGTTCACCAAGTTGACAAAGTAGACTACATTTGGCCAGGAACAATAATATCATTAACGTTAGGACACTGGCACATTTCTTCCACCAGTAAATGAAGCTGACACGTTACTAGTAACGATAGTACCACTGTTTCACTATCTGTTGAACAAACTAAGACACAGTTCTTTAACTCTTTGAGGATGTAGCGACACATTTTGCCACACCATCATACACAAACAGATGTGTTACACATTTCAAATCATCATACACAAACATATGTGCTACACATTTCAAATCATCATACACAAACAGATGTGTTACACATTTCAAATCATCATGCACAAACATATGTGTTACACATTTCAAATCATCATACACAAACATATGTGCTACACATTTCAAATCATCATACACAAACATATACCCTAGAGCGACGCCCACACTCACAAGTGGACGTGGAGATTTCAAATGTTCAAAATGTGGCCAACTTCTCTCAGCCAGACTTGGTCCCATCAGCCCCAGCAGAAGCCACAAGTTCTCCCAAACTTTAAATCTTCAAAGTCTTTAATTTCGCTGGAGAAACATTCTCCTTCGTGCCTTCGTGCATGTATTGGTCATCGTTAGACATAACGGACGATCTGTCGTTGCTAGAATTATTACACAAAAAAGAAAAACTCATTTGCATATTTCATTGTATGCGTGCTGTTTGCTGCCTGTCTCTTTCAAATTTCCGACAACAAAAATAGAACTGTAAACTGTGAATGAATAACAAAGTTTTGCTCCGTTTTAAAAGTGCCCCTAAATAGCGAGTCTTGAAGCACGATGACCAAAATCTGCTGTGTCCTCCAAAAGTTATGAAAACTGTCTCAGTTCTCTAGAAAAGAGTTTATGAAGGGTTAACTCATAAATGTGAAGGGTTAACTCATAAATGTGAAGGGTTAACTCCTAAATGTGAAGGGTTAACTCCTAAACAAAAGGTTAGGAACATATAGTTAGCAGTTATTGAGAGAACAAGAATTTGTTTTCCAACTTGTATAGTATAGAAAATTTGATGCAAAACTTCTATCAAGTCTAGAAATTGTTAAGTTCAAATCAATATTTTCTGGGAGTGAAACAAAAGAAAAGTCTTGAACATTTCAGAGAAGCAGCCTACAGGGATTAGTGCACTCTAGGAGAGACTGTAGTTTGTGCTCTCTCTCAGTGGGGCGTGATCACGTCACATCGGAACTCTAGGAGAGACTGTAGTTTGTGCTCTCTCTCAGTGGGGCGTGACCATGTCACATCGGAACTCTAGGAGAGACTAGTTTGTGCTCTCTCTCAGTGGGGCGTGACCATGTCACATCGGAACTCTAAGGTCACCAATATTTATTTCACTCAGAGCAAAAGCCAAAAGCATTGTAAACATAAACTTACAGCTCAAGTGCTGCTAAGCTAAATAATAGCCTTGCATTCTTCATTTTTTTCTCTCTAATGTTAGTGTTTTTAAACCCCTCTCAACACAGTTTAGATCACGTAGGAGGCGGGGCCAAGACGGGCAGGGAGGGATACAGCATCATGTTTGTTTTAGTGGAGGTTTTACGGCGCTTGCAGCTGTATAAAGTATACAACATCATGTTTGTTTTAGTGGAGGTTTTACGGCGCTTGCAGCTGTATAAGGTATACAACATCATGTTTGTTTTAGTGGAGGTTTTACGGCACTCGCAGCTGTATAAGGTATACAGCATCATGGACCAGCTGTTCCCCCCTTCCCCCTCCCACCACCAGAAGAAGTCGTGATCCTCCCAGTAGTCACAGCATCAATACATCGACCTACAGCTCAACAAAAGTCTACATGAGAAAGTTACTCACAACAGTGTGGACGAGAACACGATCTAGGCTAGAGCTACTGAAAGTTTCTAGGGCTACACAAACAGAGCTACGTACACATGGCTACATGTACAGAGCTAGGTACACACAACTACACACTACACACACGGCTACATGTACATCTACACGGTACACGTGTTTGTCAACTAGAGCACACGTAGAAACAAATACAGACTTTGTCTATGGGGGAGGAGGCGCGGGGCACGGCCAGATCTCTCGACTCCTGGAGGTGTGAGATGGACAGAAGAGAGGAGGAATGAGAGAGGGAGAAAAACAGGAATGACCAACAGGCCCATGCTGGTCCAGTGCCAAAGGCTGCTGTTAAGACACTTGCATGCATGACATATACGTGTACACAGAAAAACATAGAAAATATATGTAACAACCAAAATAACTTGTTTCAAAATGATGTAAAATATAAATAAATTACAAATATTTAAAAAACAACAATATATTAATAACATGCAATTCTATGTGAGTCAACACTCGTATTGTGAGTACAGACCTGCATGCTTTACATATACACGTATACAGAAATACAGAAAAAATATATGTAACAACAAAAATACTCCTGTCAGTAAGACTTGCATGCGTGTAGAGAAAGACGTGGGTTGTGAGTACAGACTAGTGCTGTGAGTGGACCACCGAGGGACAAACGACACGACACGACACGACACGCCGAGGTTAACACAGTCTTAGTTTAGATTTAGTCAGAGTTTTACGGCACTTGCAACACAGTCAGGCTATAGAAGTGCTGAAGATTAGAGGTGATACAAGAGAGTAACCAACATAAAAAAGGGGGAGAGATAAGAACAATGGATGTTTGACAGGAAAGACGGAGCAAACCACACCAGAGCACTAGCCAACTACCCACTTCAGGTCATGACAGAAATCAAGAACAAAAACAAAAACCAGAACTATTCAACTAGAAATCCCTCCAGTGAGAAAGCCAAAATCTGACATCCATTTCCAGTAGACTAACCAACAATCTATCCCACACATTTCCCCACATCTGACATCAAAACCCCCACAAAACACATCACGACTGGCTGGTGCGACAGACGACTGCCCACACAGAGCAAGGCCGAGATCCCTTCTTGGTGATCTATATATAGCCCACTACCGGGGGACAGAGGCAGACGATGAAAACAAGGACGCGGACGATGAACACAAGGACGGGGACGATGAACACAAGGACGCGGACGATGAACACAAGGACGGGGACGATGAACACAAGGACGCGGACGATGAATACAAGGATGGAAGAAAAAAGATGACACACAACAAGACAGCCATCCTACCCAACAACAAGCTTTACCGTAAATAATACCACATCAACATTTCTAAACCCGGACGAACCTGTCTTATATAGCGTAAGGAACAGTTTTACAGCACTTGCAACACAATTAGGTCATATAAATGCTGAAGATTAGAGGTGAATCTAGAGAGTAACACACAAATGAAAAAAGGATGAGAGACAAGAAGGACAGATGCTAGATAGGAAAGAAGTTACAAACCACACCAGAGCACCCACCAACCAACCACAAAACCTGTCTAATGTAGAGTGAATTTAAATCAAAAAGACATGTCCTCGTGTTTCCCAGAGATAGTTCTATATTTCTAACTTGTCCTCTCAGTCCCCAAGTTTCCCAGAGATAGTTCTATATTTCTAACTTGTCTCAGTCCCCAAGTTTCCCAGAGATAGTTCTATATTTCTAACTTGTCCTCTCAGTCCCCATGTTTCCCAGAGATAGTTCTATATTTCTAACTTGTCTCAGTCCCCATGTTTCCCAGAGATAGTTCTATATTTCTAACTTGTCTCAGTCCCCATGTTTCCCAGAGATAGTTCTATATTTCTAACTTGT